TATATATATATATACATTCGCACTGCTAATATTTACGTCCGGAATTTATAGGTTTTTCGTGATGTACAATGTTAAGGTAGTATCGGAAAGCTGAATAAATCGTTTAACCTCGCGGTAATGCATATCCTATGCATCAGTATTATGTCAGATCGTTTCAACTGAGATAAGCACAAAAAGCAAAGAATAGCGTTTGTTTGTGGTTATTGTCCGGCTTCGCGTACCCACCCCGTCATCATTCGTTCCGTTTAGCCGCAAGAAAATCCGAAAGAATTTTGAATAAGACCATTTCTTCTTATATATATATACTTTGTCTTCCTTTTTCGTTTGACCATATTGGTGAAGGCTGTGTTCGAAGCTGTCTATTACACTCTAGTCGACTTCGTTCATCTGAGACAGAATTCGTTAACTAGATTTACTAGAATTCTTTAGAGATCTAAGATGTTGTCAGCCACTGTTGTTATGTCTACCCCTGTTAGTTCGATGTGTTATTACTTGATTAATGATATTCTTCGTCGCATCACCTAGATCTAGAAATATCTTATTTTTGGTCCTTCTCCTAAAACGTCGAACTGTTAGTCAGACTTAATCGGCTACCGGAGTTCACTGCAGGCTGATTCTGCAGGCAATTTCGCTCACTTCAACCCTATATGATAGAAAATTTCCACCTAACTTGACCTTACCACACACAGGACGCCAGGATTCCACATTGTACGACTGAAACAGGTCTTCGACCGCAGGCAATAGTTTCGTTACTAAGCCTCATATCAAGTACCGCGGACAAAGACATACAGGTAAAGCATACGACCATATATATATGCACACATGATACGTGATTGCCTGATTACTTGACCCGAAATCACAGGCCCAGTTTCTTGTCCCTAAAGCAAATGTTACTATAGATAATTATACGTTCAGGTTGCGGTTCATATCTCTTCCACGTCCAACGGTTAACACTGGTCCAGTGACTTCATCGTTACGGCCTATTTTTGAGTTTTGTTTATGTTAAAAGGTTTGTAAACGTTTCCTCCGATCTTTGCGTTCTTTGCAATCTGTAATCCTTCTTCATTCAATTATCACTAATATTGTTAATGTAATATTAATATATAGTCTTTTTCTTTTATTTATATTTAGTCATATTCGATTATATATATATATATATATATAGATATATATATATATATATATCAATGGTAATAATCAATTGTGCTATAATTGTGCTACCATCGAACAGCAAGACACCGATACGTTCGACGATGTCATCACCATCAATCCACTGTTCTTTAGGCGCCTTCTGGTCGTCTGTCTGCTTGTTGTTTTTCCTTTTTATGTAGATGATCAATATGGCTTCCGACAAAAGCCAAGTTATATTTTTTTTATCAACATCAGTCGTTCATCATCGTTGTCCTAGATCCCTAAACCAAAAAAGGTCCGAAACAGTGTGGCTTCTTCAATGATGTAGGTAATTATTTGAAATCTCTATACGACTGTGGGAATAGGTAACGGACAGGGACGAGCTCGTATTGAATTACGATGGCAAACATGATTGTAGATTATCGTTTAGGAATTTTGTTTCTCACTATTGAATTCTTGTCTATCTTTTTCTTTTATATTCGCTCCCCTCAAACAGTGATTACTATGCATGAGTATCTCTATTACTGCGTGAAATTTCGTCGTTTTCGATTTAAGATTGGCTAAAAAAACAAGTAAACAGGGTTCCATTGTTTACAAATACATACAGTCCTATCCTATTCGTAGAGAAAGTGAAAGGGCAGTATATTACGAAAGCAGACGACTAGACGTACGGTGCAGAATTCAAATAGCCAATCAAACATCTCAGTGTGGATATTCGCCAGGCTCACGCGCTGGCGGACCTGATCGCGGTCTATAATTACTATCTGTTATTATTCGATACTCGTCAATGCTTTGTGTTTGTTATTTGCTTCATTTAAATTGCGCGGAACGTTATCCGGCGGTAGCATTCAAGTTCTGTCTACAGTCGCTCGTATTCTTCCTAACATCTCGATCATGCAGAACAGCATACGATTATAATCATTATTGCCCCCTCGTTATGTGTCTTCCTCAGCAATGTTCTTAACAGATAGAGTTGTTATAGAATCATTTCGATACTGACTTTTGGACAACGGAAAACCTTCCACTACAACTCAATACGATGCCCCTTTGATTTTTCTAAAGGCCGCAGATGTGCCCACCTGTCTGTCTACAGATTAGTCGTATCTGCTTTGTTTTTCCAAGCTTTTACCGTAATTATCATGATTCTGTTTCATCAATTGCGGCAGCGCCATTTCAGTAACGATTCGGATCTTGCCGTCGTTCTAATTATATCATAGATAACACGTAAGATATCAAATAATGGCAAGACGAGACTGGGTCGCGTGATCCGATTGCTACCTAAATGTATGATAGTTAATCGAAAACAATAATATTTAATTAAAACTAGTGATAGTAGTTCTGCTCGTATTTGTAGCGAGATTAGTTCTCGTTATCATCATTACTTCATTCGCACACAACAAATGACCCAATACAGATATAGTTAGATATATGTATGATAATAGTAATACGTTATCTAAGTATATGGATGAATGTATTTAAAATAAATTCCCTATATTATGTAAACTAAAACTGTAGTTGGAGATCAGAACCCTGATCAAGGCAAGGCAAGGCAACGTTTGGACGGTCTTCTCGTGTTTACGTCGTTATATTCTGTCATGACACCGTTATATTTTCGCAGCGTTGCTTTTAGCTGTTCTCATTAATCTCAACCTAGTTTGATGCTGTTGTAGTCGATGTAATTGCAGTTGATGATCAGTTTTTTTTAACACTCTCGTTTTTGCTGTCCTCGATAGCGTCCTTACGCGAAGGGCTCCTAACCGGTTCTCACCCCTTGGCTTCGAGGCCATAAATACGCTTTGATAAGTGAGTGGTCCACCGGTCGTTTCCGTCGAGCACGAACGATTGCAATGCGCGGTGTTTCGGCCGCCGCTTGCCGTACATTTGCCGCGACATCTCCTTGAATCACATGATTGCAACAAGGAAGGGCATATCAATGAATACTTTCAAGTTCTTCGTCAAAAGTGTTTGTCAAAGGGCAAAACCTATACATGCGTTATTCTCGTTCATAAAGCGAAAGTCGAGTGGGTCGTCTAGGCAGTGTCCACCATAGACACCCACCGCAGTCCATCACAGGTGGAATATGCTCGTAGATAACTTACAAAAAAGAAACGATCGGCATCCTCTGAATCACATTTCGAACACCCTGACCTCTTGCTACCCCCACACTTTAACTGTTTTATCATAACACTACAGTGTTTGGCTCATTATGATTAGAATCAGTTATACGATTGATTCTACATATATATATATATATATATATATATATATATATATATATAGACACCACAGTTATAGTGAAATAATTATGATATACACAGTAATCGTATAACCTTAGTTAGTGCATGTACATGCATAAGTTTAAGGATGTGTCGTCACAAGTGGCTTCACAGATGCAAACTATCTCGGTCGCCACCTGCCCGTCTGTACGACTTAACAACGAACGTGCAGTTGTGACAAGACGGAAACTTTCTTTTTTGGTGCTCATCCCCTTTGCTGTAACATCTATTGTTTATTAGACTTTTTAAGAGCATTTTTCGTTCGTTATCGTAAGAGAGACATTTTTGACGTCAACATTACTGCAGCACTCACAGCTGCTGTCGTTGTCATTTGGCGCGGGTAGATGCATTGAACAAGTTAATAATAAGCGTCACAGGCGTCGTCTACGCTAATAATAAGGACCGTATTAAACAACGCCGACCTTATTAAATACGAATTCGGTAACAGCCGTCATTGTTCGTGTATCGTTCCTTGGTGCACTGTCATAGTAGATTTTGCGTAATCGCGCCGAGGTCACGACGGATCGCGCCATTTTCCACCCAGGATCAATGGTTCTATGAAAAAGGGGGTAACTTTTGTAGCCGTCTCGAGAAGTTGAATGGCTTGTTCGATTTTTCTTCTGTTTATGTAGAGATGTGTGTGTATTTGTTTCGTTGCTTATGCGGGACGGACTGGCATACGAGGCTATTATTTGATAGATTCAATGGTTACGTGGGTGTCCATGGTATATAAGGATAATCGTAGTAGCTGCTAGGTGGATCAGTACTGAGCTTCTGTATAGCCAGGCAAAGTCGACGCGTTCCTAACTTATACATCATGGACATACTATGCCAGCTGTAGAAGCAGTGAAGTGGTAGCGATCATCCGATACGCAATTGAAAAACGCATCTGATTGTTTAACACATAAGAAGCATTTCACACTCGACTGACAAGAAAAACATTATCACCTTTTTACACTCGTCCGCTCAGCATTGCGCTGATGAATTTCCTGTGCATCATTAAAAAGAACAGACCTTTAGTAGATTAAGAGCGCCTCGGAACTCAGAAGGGCCATGGTAACACGCGACACACGTTCCCACGTACATGTTACAGTAATTCGTTCATTTGACTGATTACGCATAGCTTCCTGAGGGCTCTGGACCCGAAGCCGTTTGTGTTAAACAGTTTCCCCACTCGAAACTCGGTCACCGATCAATCTATGATATTTAAACCAGTAACCACAAATCATTTCTTGTTAAAAATGTGGCCCGTTTTATAAAATCGTTTTTTTAGGTTTTGCTTTATTTCTCTTGCTATTTTTATTATTCTCACTGTTATCAATGAAAAAATATCCAGAAATCTGAATCGACGCACCCTTGGCCCATCGATTACATTCAAAGCAAAACAGCGGGAAGTTCGTCTCGAGACGTGCACAGCCCTGGATGCTTAAGATTGCGCCGGTTATACGTGTCAATGTTTTAGGTACAATTTTGCTCATTTATAACGCCGTACCCTTGGTTCCGTTTTCCAGGGAGGATTCTGTTTAGGTTGCAGTCGATAGATTGTGGGCAATTGTCGTCGTGATGAATAGTCTATAATGTTGTCCTTGAAGAAAATTATACATATAACGCTGATTAAAGACGCTGATCCTGTTTTTAAAGTGTTTGCTTTTTGCGACTAGTGGGTAAAATTCTCCTCTTCCTCCTCACTGAGTGGTGGACTGGGCATATCTGGACAGGCCGAGGGCCCCGTAACCGTCCCGGCAGCAAAGGCCAAAGGTGATACGTCGAGGATGAGCTTAAGACAACGTGCAACTTGAGCGTTAGTCGCGCAGCACAATGCCGGTGTGTGGCCTAGGAAATCGCAAGGTACGCAGGCACAAGAAAGTGTTGTAAATTGAACCCATAAAACGCAGAGAAAATGGGGTGTATACATTAATTATTTTCAAATAAGAACACAATAATTGTTTTACAAAAATATCTACTGGCAATGATCCACCGTTGACATTGTGATAAATAATAGGTTAAAAAATATGATAGCGGGTTGGCAAGCGTACAGCTGGCGTGTAAGGAGTTACAAGGAGTTATAATAATAGGGTATACAATTATTCGAGGAATATTTTTATTACCATTTGATATGTGCCCGCAGTCGATAGCTGTACTTTTGTTTACTGCAAACGAAATGCTCTTACCGAATCGATCCTTGGCTGTAACGTCAGCCCCATTCTGAATGAGCAGCTGGGTGGCGGACACAAGGCCGTTGCGAGCGGCCAGATGCAAGGGCGTCCGGCCCTCATTATCTGCCAAATTGACTAGCGTGCCAAGACCAGCTGAATCGGCCTGTATCAAAGCGGTTATCGTGTGGGGTCTATCAAGTAACAATTGCACTACGGCTTCTTGATGAGCCAAGCAAGCCCGATGAAGCGCCGTTGCGCCTTTACAGTCCTGGGCTAACGGGTCAGCACCCCGGGATAACAAAAGTTCTGTGAAAAAATACCCAGTTCTTACTTGTTAGCAACAGAGAAGGTTTTTCAATCACGCTACTCTATTGCTTAGTTTCATTTGAATTGATCTATAAGCTTCATACTTCGTGAGCAATGTTTAATGTACTGATATATAAAGGGTTGCCTCGACGGCCAGAGGAACTTACCGATTACATTACACTGTCCATTTTGGGCAGCGAGTATCAACGGTGTACAGGCAAGGTTATCTCGTTCGTCGACACGGGCACCGCGTGCTATTAGGGCGTCGCAGTTCCTCGACACTCCCCGAATAGCAGCCACATGTAATGCAGTGCGTCCTCTGGCGTCTCGGGCATGGACCGACTGCCCTCCGAGCAGTTTGATCAATGATTCCAATAATGATACACCGTTAAGGTGGCCCCTGTAGTGACACGTTCGAAAGAACTTACCTAGTTTTATTTCTTCTGCTGCTTTTATTAAGATGATACTTACATATATTAACCAAGCTGGTATCTAGACATACTTAATTATATGTATCAAGTACAACACTTTCATTTGGATGTTTACTACCCGATATTATTTTTTATAGAGTTGATCCCTAACTTTTCGTCCGATGAACAAATATTTTTTTTCTAGAATTTCTAGAATAAGAACAGGGATGTAGCTGAGTTTTCTAACAGGATAAGATCAACTTATTTCGAATCACTTCAATAAAAGACTTTTCTGGGAAGACCGAGTGATCGTTAAGAAAGTCTACCACAAATAAGATGCAGTGCCTACGTGGCACTGAAAACCGTCGACCCAGCAATACAACAAACAATGTACTCACGCTGCACAGTGAAGTTCACTGAAGTGTGCTCGCGGGGCGACGTGCATCTCTGCGTCCTCGCTCATCTCCTCCTCAGCCAGACGCAACAATAATGTGACACACTCGCGATTTCCTGAATAACAGGCATAATGAAGAACTGAATAACCCTGAGGGTCTCGTAATGCCAAGAGCGACCGACGCCCACCGAAAGACAAACCGTTGGCAGCGGTCACGCTGGCCGTCATCGAGTCTGTGGCTAGTTCTGCCTGTAGAGCCTCAGCCAGAGCTTGCAAAACCTTTGCATTGCCAGTAAGTGCGGCCAGGTGAAGTGGACTCTTGCACGGCACCTTTACCTTAGTGAGGATCGGAGCCCCGGATTCCAACAACTCGCGAGTCGCTTCCGGATTGTTGAACGCATAGTGAAGTACACCAAGGCCCCGGTTGTCACGCATCCGAACATCGGCGCCTTGCTCTAATAGGGCGCGAATTGTTTGACTTGACGACCGCATAGCCGCGTGCATTAGCGGAGTGCGACCCCGTCGATCGCTAACGTTCACATCGTACAGGCCGCAGTTGAGCAGATATAACAGGCAATCCTCCCTGAGGAAACAGTCGCATTCAAATTGTACAGTAGTTCCATTCACAATCATGTTTTAATATTACTAATGCCGGGAATAAACGCGTGTCTTAATCCGAGCAATAATGATTACCATTGTTAAAGCAGCTTGGTGATGCTAGTTCATCTCTTCTCAGCCTGAAACTACCACCTATTTAATCTAATTATGCATGTGCGGCTGAGCACTATAGAATTTCCTACTCAGTTGCTCTGTTCTTCTGGTCATACTGTTGCAACAACTTCCTACCGATTGTGTCTAGCAGCAATTATCAGAGCAAGATCCGGCCTTTGAGCGGACGACGCTGAGGACTGCGCAGCTGACCCTCGACCGTGTTCATCATTATCCTCCTCGCACTGGCTAGCGTATTCCAGGAGCAAGCGAAGACACTCAAGATGACCACTGCGAGCTGCTAACTCCACGGGCGAAAGCCTTTGTGTCGGAGCCATGGGAGGGCAACCTATGATTGTACGAATATCATCATTCGATAGTTGGGAAAGAATCTACAATGACAAAAAGAAAATAAAAAGCACATAATATTATCGTCTTGGGAAAGCACCTGGGAAACAGGACAACTGAGAGAGCAAGCATTATGAAACATCCTGGATGTCCTTGACGAAGTACTTGACAAATATCGGGCCATGTCACGCGAACGGATTACGGCATTTGCTTTTGTCGACAGATCGAATACCCGCTCAAATCGAAAGCACCAATAGGAACCGAAAGTTTGAAGTTCTAGAAGTTCGATGCACCCACATTTAATGTAAACCGCAGATTTCCTTTTGTTCATGAACGACCGTATCAGTTAGCATAATAGCATTTTCCGGAGACCACTTTCGAATAGTGAATGAAACTTGATGAAGCAAAATGCGTATGGTCGTCGATACTAGAGGCACCTGAAGAAAAATATCTGAAATCTGCCTTCGTCCTTCGTTTGCTACCTTCCACACAGGAGTCATGTAACCCGATGAGGTATTATGGAAGCAGCAGTGCAAAAAGGGATATCCTGCAGTCCTGTGATATCGAAATGAGCGCTGGTGTATTTATCTATGTTATAGTCATATGGGAGGCATAGCGGGAGAGATTATCCGTTTGCTAATCCTTAGCACCCATAGCTGCTACAGCTTGTTAATACACTTTTCCGTGACCACTTATATATGACCGTTATAGAGAATATAGACAGACCTACCTGTACTTGAGCCTCTCCTAGGGCGCTCACCCACATCAATTGCCAAACATATATGCTTGTATATATTACATAACTCGTTTTTTGGCTCTATCCTTCGAGAGTTTTTTAATCCTAAAGTTCTGAGTTCATCGCATCCAAATGATTGTGCTTACTACGTAAGAACGTTACTAACTGTGACACACCCAAATTACGGTATTTGCTCTTTCGTTCCTTGAAGGAATAAATGGCGAAACGATATTCTCCGGGTGGGCAAGGTTAGCATAAAATCTAGCTTAAAATCTGTAATATTAAAATTAGAAAACGACTGTGAGCATATACGAACAAATTCGATACTTTAAAATAATGGCAACGGTCAAGTGATGTCACCTATTTTAGCCCCTATTCTCGTGCTATTGCATCTTCTATGCGGGTGTCGGAGCGCAAAGTGCGCTGAACACATCTTCGTAAGTTAGCATTGTTTTTGCGACAGTGCAAACTCAATTAGCGTTCCTATGCATGTTAGTAGCATTTTTTTAGTAGAAGATCTGCTACTGCTACTTTGAATTCGAGATCTAAAAGATGACATGAACGTACCGTCTTGAGCGCCATGTCGTTTCCGGCGTGGGCCGCATAATGAAGTGGGCCTGCACCTGAGACGTCTAGAAGTTTACACCATTCGTCAGCTTTGAGCAGTCCAAGAAAAAAGTTAACGTATAGATCGTCCTGGAGGGCGCAGGCTAGATGGAGCGGAGTGCGCCCGTCCACATCGGGACGTCCAGCGTCGAGAGGCGAACGGTGGCTGAGATATGCCAGTAAGTTAACATCACGATGCTGTTGCCGATTTGCCACGGCGTAATGTAGAGGGGTGCGTCCTGGACAAGATAGATTAATAATTGAAAAATTTTGTAGTGCTTATTGGAACAATTGAAAGGTCTTCATCGCAGTCGCTTGTACATCTTCTGCTAACCTAACATATGTAAGATAAAACCTATCTGTTAAGTGACTATTTATGATTATTTTTTTTGAAGAACTTTTGTC